TAGACCATAGAATGTGATTTTCAGCCGTACCATATTTTTTGGACTATAAGGGGGTCTTAAAATCCTTTAATTTTCTCAACAATCAACAGTGCGCCTTATAATCATTATAATAATATGTATTAATGTATTCTGGTTGTGCTTACTGAACTCGAACCAATTTTATGTGGTACACGGCGCTCAAAAGTCTATCAAAACATTTTAGTACGACTTTGGTAAACTTCGAAGCCACACCACTTGATGGATTGTTGGAGCATTACGGCTACTGTAATCAGGAGCCTCGTTGAGTCGTGTCCTTTAGTCCGACAGAAGCTGAACCGTATCAGCGCACAAGGAACGAGCTGTTTTTTTCAGAGCTTATCGTTTATGCAAATGCGCCGTGTGGTTTTAAGTTTTGCTTCTGTAAAAAGGAAACAAATGCGCACAAAGCTGCATTAAACACATTATTACTCAATGTATATTTGAATTCTGCTTGTAGGAAAAAAACAAAAACAAAACTTATATTATCCACCCACATTCAAATTCATAATACACCAAAACAGGGAGGCAACGCCAGGTGAATTACGTCACGATCTGCCGATGGATTGTGGACGCCTGAGCTAAGGGATCAGTCTCAAGTGTCGTCTGTTTGTTTCGTTTAATACGCCTTATAATCTGGTCCAATTTATGTATGAAAATAGATGAGAGAATTCAACATTATTGACATTGCGCCTTATAGTCTGAAAAATACGGTACTTTCTTTTATAGTCCTATGTGGCCTTATATCTGTGTAATCCCTCAGTCGTTCATGGGCGTGTACTAGTCTAAAAGGTTCATTTCTGTCCTGTGAATGTGATGTTTTAGTATCGTATAGTTTTGAGACCAGTTTTAGTATCGATTAGTCTGATTTTTAGTAGTTTTGACAAGGACACAATCATATAGGACGTGATAAAATGCCCATCCAACCTTCTTCAAAACACCAGAAAACCATTTTACAAATAAGAAAGTGCCAAAAAAAACGTAGATTTCCACATGATAAAACTGCAATCGTCCGTACGATGAGCACAATGTTCCCTTTTTGTACCCGGTAACTTCTTGCCAACAAATAATTTTCATGAAAATCATCACAACAGAAACGCTTGCTTCCTCCTTTTCACTTCCAGCGCCTCTGCTTTTGTCTCGTAGCGTGCATAATCACTGGTTTTCTTGAAAATCAAAGACTGCAATTTTGAAAAGGAAAAAAAAAAAAAAAAAAAGGTTCCTCACGTGTTTTGTTCACGTTTAGCTAACAATGCTGTAAAAGAAGACACTGACGGTGGGAGACTGGCACAAAGAATTCAAACAATAGGGGTCGTTATGCAGATGTTCTATTCTTATAACGTCGGGTTAGGTCTGAAGTAGGACTTGTTCCAGGTTATGGTGCATTTGAACTAGATTAAACTCATTTTCTATTTCCATTTTTTGACATGATGCTTGTAATTTGTTATATTCTTAGCCTTAAATTATGCTTGAAGTCCTTTTTTTTTTTTTTTTTTTTTTGTATTTCCACCTGGTCGTATTAAAGGCCCTGTACCAGTTTTTGTTTTCTTGCATTTGAGCAAGTACAGATATTTTGTAGAAGCAGCTCTTGAGGTCAAAATACGTCTGTAGCGTAATTAGAAAGTGTTTTATCAGGAAGTGCACTGTTAGCATGCTAGTTGCTGTTAGTTTTACCGTGACAAACTTGTTATCGTGGCTTGAGGAGTGACTTTGGACCGCTGCAAACTGTTTAAAGGTGCATTATGTAGCTTTTCTGGTTTCGGGGTCCATCAAACGCTTATATTGATTTGTCTGGAATGTTCCACAGTATGGCATTAAACCTTTCTATCTTCATGGAGACCAAACCACGCAGGTTACAGGTCAGATCTGTGGAGAGGCGACCCCGCTTACAGTCAAAGTATGTGTTTTTCTAGGTATTTTTGAGCACCTCTATCTGAATAAATGTAAAGTAGAGCTGTTTAATGTCATACTGTGGAACATTTCAGGCAGAGCAATGACATCTCCGTAGAAACAAGCAGATGAAACTCTTTTTTTGTATTTCTACCTGGTTGTATTAAAGGCCCTGTACTGGTTTTTGTATATTTATTTTGTAGAAGCAGCTCTTGAGGTCAAAATATGTCTGTAGTGTAATTAGAAAGTGTTTTATTGACCAATAATCAGGAAGTGCACTGTTAGCATGCTATGTCTATGCTATGTCTGTTTTTCTAGGTATTTTTGTACGGATGCCGGGAAGGTTCATAACAAACGCAAACACTGCAACAAATACAAACGCTACAACGCAGCAAAAAGCCACAACAAATAAATAAAGAGCCACAACGGAAGTGATCGCGGGACTCTGTTTTCCGAAGCGTTAAAGGATCAAACGGGAAGTGAATGGGAAAAGTTGAAAAAGAACAAGAATGTGAAAAGTAAAGGAATGGAAGTGAACAAAGTTGGAAACATAAGTAAACGTAATTTATTGTTTTGTGGCCAGGATCGATGTCACTATCGGACTGTCACTTTGTCCGTCGAAAAATCCCTCAATCACTTCCGTTGTGGCGTTTTTTTTTTGTTTTTTTTTATTTGTTGCAGCGTTTGCGTTTGTTATGAACCCTCCCAGCTTCTCGATTTTTGAGCACCTCCAACTGAATAAATGTAAGGTAGAGCTGTTTAATGTCATACTGTGGAACATTCCAGGCAGAGCAATGACATCTCCATAGAAACGAGCAGGTGGAAGTTCTTTTTTGTATTTCCACATGGCCCTGTACCAGTTTTTGTATTTGAGCAAGTATAGATATTTTGCAGAAGCAGCTCTTGAGGTCAAAATATGTCTGTAGTGTAATTAGAAAGTGTTTTATTGACTGATAATCAGGAAGTGCACTGTTAGCATGCTGGTTGCTGTTAGTTTTACAGTGACAAGCTCGTCACTGTGACGCGAGGAGTAACTTTGGACCGCTGCGAACTGTTTAAAGGTGCATTGTGTAGCTTTTCTGGTGGGGGGTCCATCAAACGCTTATATTGGTTTGTCTGGAATGTTCCACAGTATGGCATTAAACCTTTCTATCTTCATGGAGACCAAACCAGGTCAAGTTACAGGTCAGATTTGTGGAGAGGCGACCTCGCTCGCAGTCAGAATGCCTGTTTTTCTAGGTATTTTTGAGCACCTCTAACTGAATAAATGTAAAGTAGAGATGTTTAATGTCATACTGTGGAACATTCCAGGCAAAGCAATGACATCGCCATAGAAACAAGCCAGTGACGGACCCTGAACCAAAAAGTTACAAACCTTACACACCTTACACGCTTATTTAAAACCGTAAAAATCAGGTACAGCGCCTTTAATTATATTCCAAAACAAGTCAAGGAGTTTGAAAAAAGCCCGGTCCTTGATTCATTGTAACTTGCCTCATAATTTGCTCCAGACATTTAAAATTCATCAATTATATTAAGAAAAAAGTGCTGTAATTTTGCACTTTTGAAAACCAATCACTGTATTTTGATGGATTTCATTGTATGTTAATTACACGCCCAAATCTCCCATTTTAAATCTTTGGTTATTCTCAATTTATTATTCATGCGTACCCCCTAGTATTTCTAATTTGCATATTACCGATAGTTTTCCAGTTGGCCTTTAATTCAACGCTAAATACAGGGCAGAATCAGCTGTCAATCAAACTTTAGGTGAACACCGAATGGACATATTTTTATATTTTTTAGAGTCATGTTCATTTTCCATTTTGCCACGAAATACATTCAATACAAATGCGTTGATCTAAGCAAATTAGACCAACCATTTAGTAAAAACATTGACTTTTTTGGTCTTGGTCAGCTTCTTTTACCATTTAGTAGTTTGTTAAAGAACACATATTATACAAAATTTCCTTTTTATTTGAGTTTTTAACTTGTTTTATTGTTGTTTCCCCATCCAAAACATAACTGGATTTGCGTTTAGTTTCATTCACGCTTGTTTCGTTAATCTGTAAATCCAAATTCGTCTTCCCTGAGCCTCAAAAATGCTCTGTTTGAATTTTGCCAGGATTGTTGCGTCATAGGTAAAAACCCAGACTTCTCCTGTGCAGTTTTTGAGTCCATAAACCATCTCTGGACTTGTTTTATGGTCAAATATTATTCAAAATGAACGCATGGCTTTATTAGTTTAGCTTTTACGGACGATAAAGACTTAATTTGTTTACTTTGCCACTTTTAATTCCAGTTCCTGACAGTAGAAGAGCTCTAACACCCCCCCAAAAAATCATCAGAAACGCAGCTGTAGTTTGCAAAGTGTGGTTTCCAAATATTGATGTTATTTTAAATTAGAAAATGTGAAAAACTGATCCCAATATGAACTAAAACATGTTTAAAATCGAAGCAACAACAATTTATAATATGTGTTCTTTAAGGCAAGTGTCCCTACAAGTATTATTTTTTATGTATTTATTTTTTGTTAAATTTTGTATTCAGACCTTTCTTTTCAATAAACTTGTTGGGGATAGAATTGAGTATAAATCAGGTATAATTCTCCATAAGAAGCCGTTTAACCAATACAAAACGTGCAACAAAAACAGGTTAATTAATGCCAGTTCTTCCTTTACATCTGGACTTTTCCCTGTCGTACCATTTCAAAGGAGGGAGAGGCGGCTTGCGTTCAACTTTCTGACATTAAATATGGCAAAACATTCAACAAAAAGTCATAAATAGCTCTATAATGATGTTTTAAAGTTCGAAAAAAACAGTCTTACAGTAAAAGTGTACAGGTTCCCACTTTGTCCAATGCATACAGTCCAACCTCAGTTAACAGCGCAATACGATTCTCCACATCGCCTTGGCATAGTTTCCAAAATTTTTCCGAAATGTAGTTTTAAAGTCTGTAGCCAGTCCCAAAAATTAAATATTTTTGGTTAAAATGGCTGACTGGACATGCTGCCTGTTGCATTCAAGCACAGCGCTACATAATTCTCTTAGTACGAAGCTAAGATCGTTTTCTAAAATGCTGATTTAAGTTGGTTTTAAGATCTTTCACAGCAGGGAATGTTGCTTTCCAGAGACATCTGCGAGGAGGACTGGCGTATTAGCGGCGCCATCGTGGGCTCGACCATGGAGGAGGTAGGGAACAGCTTGTACCAGCCAATCACCATCGAGCTCAGGTCCAGCTCCTCCAGCAGGATCCGAGCAACGCCCATGAAGCACTTCCTGTCCATGCGTCCATAGTTGCCCCACACAATTACCTGTTAAAAGAATAAAAAGTCAAAATTAGTACAAACTTATGAATTATTTTATGATGTGTAAGCATAATTTTATAATCTACGCATGTTTAATTGTTAAAAAACATTTTCAGATTTGTCTTGGTCAATTTTGTTTTCGAAATTTTGAAGTTTTGAATCATTATCGCTCTATAGCAGGAGTCTTCAACCTGTTGCTTGGGAGCTACCAGTAGTTCTCCACCCCCTTCAAAGTAGCTTGCCAAGTGATTTCTGAATTCTATGTATTGTGCATAATAAGAAAAATTTGATTTACCGATGTTACCAAATTACCAGTGCATTTTATTGCTTAACTTGGTGCACTGATAATGGAAATGGATAATGGTTTATGTTTTATACACATCTAACTGTTCCTCATCTAAATCCGATCATAACAGGGATACTGATGTGCATGTATACGCACTCATTGTTTACATCTGACTCGTGGTGGAGTGGAGATGACGTAACATCATAGGAAACATGTCACCAGAGACGATTTATACGATCTTTGGGGTCACATGACGTATGTCGCCAAAAAATTAAAATAAATAAATAAATAACCTACGTCGCCCTGAAATGCAAAAATAGTAACGCACAGTGTATTAGATAAGTAACTTAAATCTGACTACTGGTTTGGAAATAGCACTGTGTTAGACACTCGTTACTGAAAAAAGTAGTTGGACTACAGTAACACGTTACTAAGTAGTGCGTTAGTGGCATCACTGGTTAGGAGCTATGAGGCATTCCACAAGCCACTGCACAGATCAAACCAAACGTTTTCAAATACTATTGTACAAGTTCCACACTGCAGCAGATTAATTAATAAAAATTTTCTGCATAAATTAACTTTACATGACTAAACTTTACAACATTTAAACCCTGACAACAACAGAGCCACATCAGGTGGTTTATGTTTTATATCTAAACTGTTGCTCTTATATTTACTCAGTTTCTTTGCGACTGCTGAAATTGCTTTCTGGCATTTTCATTTTGTAAATGTAGCTCACCCTGCTCTATAATCAAGATGTGGCAGTTTGCACACAAGAACACAACCATGACGTCAGCCAGTACTGAGGATTAACTAAATCAAAAACCGCGATTGGGGTGGCAGTGTTTTCCACAGAGCTTTATATTTAGGGGGGCTGTCTTGACAACAACTGCCGCCCGCCTTCACTACGTCCCTCCAAACCACGTGAATCCTCGCAAAACTACAGTCATTGCACTGTGGTCCTCACTTTCACCTTTCGCCAGCACAGAATCTCCGCCCCGCCCCTCGTCCCTGCCACCGGATCTGCTCTTACTGCAGACAATGTGGACAAGTTGTTTTTTTTTTCTAGCCAAAAATATGAAGACTGAGTAAAACCTCACTGTTCTGGAACTGTTCATGCTGCACTTTTCATTTTGTTTACTGTTTACATGGAATTAATTTTTTATAATATTTCATAAATTTTTTTGCTTATTTGAGAATATTTTATTGAACTTATTAGTCTTACCAAGCAGCACTTTGCATTTATTTTATTTTCCCATTTGTATAATGTTAAAACAAATTGTTGGTTTAATAAACACACAAATGGTTTTGCAACGAAATTGAATCAAAAACGAGGTACCTATCGAACCATGATTTTTGTGTACCGTTACACCCCTACACACAAACAAACTTTAAAAGGCCTATATTGACTCTTGTGAGCTTTAAGTCATGTTATAATGTTGTTTCCTCATCAAAAACAGACCTGGAGTTGTGTTTTGTTTCATTCACATGTTTGAGTAACTCTTTATTATTAGTCTGTTGACATTTCCAAAACTCCACATGCCCTGTTACAACTTGTGATGTCATGTAGTGGTATTTTTCAAGATTTCAGATAGAGATTACAGCAGAGATTGGAAACCCCTGGCTGAAATGATCCAAATGATTCCAGTGAAGGTGTGTGGAGTTTAAAAACACAGTGGAGCACTTCCTGTATTACCACATGACATCACAAGGTGGAACGGAGTGTTTGAGAGAAGAGGACAGCGTAAATATACGAGGTTTCTGTGTTAAACTTGTGTGAAAGAAACAAAAAACACAACTCCAGGTCTGTTTTTGATGAGGAAACAACATTATAAAACAGATCTGAAAATAAAAAGTAGAATTTCACTACGACAATTGTACCACTGACTCTTTTCAAACCTGTCTTTGGAACATAATGTCTTCACCGTTGAACAACACGTATTCATAAAAACAGCTTCAAAATAAGTAGAGCTTTATTATGGGAAATATCAAAGGACATTTCAGGTAAATTAGCCCTAAGACACAAGCGTCCTCACCTGCTCCGTCTCAGTCTTTATGTGTTATGCAAAGTCTCGCTATAGCCTTACGTTTTACCTGAAAATTAGAATTCTTCTGGGCGAAACCGGGCGGAAAATATTTAAAAGAGCCCATCCATCACTAGGGGGAAGTAAACAAACACCTGGAACTTTGTGCGAAGACTTAAGGCAGCCCGACGTCCCCATTTACCCGGGGAAGTCCCAATTTTTGAGCCCTTTGTCCTCTGCATAAACTGTATACATAAATGGCTTCTGGTTCCATCGACTCTGGCTTATTTTGAGTTTAAAATATTCGTATTAATGATCCTGATGTTTTATTTTATTCTTAATATGAAACTCGGCTCCTTTAGTCCACTTCTTTATGCCGTCTATGTTCGCCTGTCCCAGCAGATTGATCCAAAACTATTGATTTGCCTCAGTTTTATACAAGATAAGTCACAGGCGTACCTATTTTTGACCAATTTGATACCAGCCAACAGCAAAGAGGGGAACAGATTGTCTTTTATTTAGTAAAAATACAGAAAAACAAGCTTGAGCCCAGAACACAGAGAGCATTCAGTGACCAACATCCGTATTAGGGCTGAGCAAAAAGTATCTTGATATATTTTGCTGTATCTCGATTTACGATATATATCTCGATATATTTACAAGAAAAATAACCCCGCAAAAAATACTGCAAAATTCCACAAGGCAGTTCATGTAGAAACAAAGAGCTTCTGCAACAACAACAACAAAAAAAAATCCCTGCATATAAAAATAATAATATGACTGTTAAACAAAGGAAGAAATAATACATATTTCCTTCTTATCATACAAAAATATAACAACTCAGCTCAAGCTCATCTTTGCTTAACTCTGTTAACCGTACGATGATCAGAACCATGAGCTCCTTCAGCAGAGGAAGCTCGGGAGGTTCATTGTTTTAATAGATCCATGTTTCTCACCAGCGTAAGGAGCAGTGTTGCCATAGTTACTTTGAAATAGTAATCTGACTACTGATTACTTCTTTTAAAAAGTATCTTAGTTAAGTTACTGGCTACTTGCTTTTAAAAGTAACTAAGTTAGATTACAAGTTACTTTATTAGTTACTTTCTGCAGCGGCTGATCCCCCACCCCCTTCTTGAAGACAGACAACACTTTGTCGCCAGCACAGAGTGTACAACGAACCTTTATGTTGCCATCCTTAGCTGAAATAAAATCTAAATAATGTTTGTATTTCCAGCTCCCTCCATACTGTGTGTTTACATGCACCATGAAGAAACCGGGATACTCAAAAATCCCGATCATAACAGGGATACTGATGTGCATGTATACGCACTCATTGTTTACATTTGACTCGTGGTGGAGCGGAGACGACGTAGCATCATAGGAAACATGTCACCAGAGACGATTTATATGATCTTTGGGGTCACATGACCCATGTCGCCAAAATATTAAAATAAATAAATAACCTACGTCGCCCTGAAATGCAAAAATAGTAACGCACAGTGTATTAGATAAGTAACTTAAATCTGACTACTGGTCTGGAAATAGCACTGTGTTAGACACTCGTTACTGAAAAAAGTAGTTGGACTACAGTAACACGTTACTAAGTAGTGCGTTAGTGGCATCACTGGTTAGGAGCTATGAGGCATTCCACAAGCCACTGCACAGATCAAACCAAACGTTTTCAAACACTATTGTACAGGTTCCACACTGCAGCAGATTAATTAATACAATTTTCTGCATAAATTAACTTTACATTATTAAACTTTACAACATTTAAACTCTGACAACAACAGAGCCACATCAGCCCGTTTGAGATTATAATGTGTTTAATGCAGCTTTGTGCACATTTGTTTATGTTTTACAGAAACAAAACAAAACCACTTCGCTCATTTGCATAAACTAAAAGCCCTGTAAAAAAACAGCTCACTCCTTGTGATCCTTGTGGCGAGCAGGAGCGTGCACAGAGAAGGCAAACAAGCAAAGCGGCAAAATTAATTAAATATAAGCATAATATCGATATACATGAGATGTCAGAATCCATTGTGTTTTTAAAAAATATCGAGATATATTTTAAATATCGAGATATCGCCCACTCCTAACCGGTATCCACCCACTGCTCTGTACTTACTTCACTCTCCAATTTTATTTTCTTAATCTGCTTTACATGTAGAATTTGGCAGTGTATTTGGCAATTTGTCAGTATCTATTTTAACACAAATGAAAAAAAATTTAAAAATTGTCTGTTATCTTGCGCAAAATTGACACTGTGAGCTTTTAGCCGTGTTAGAACGTTGTTGCCCCCTCAAAAACAAACCTGGAGTTGTGTTTTGTTTCATTTGTTTCATTCACACGTTTAAGTAATCCTTTATTATTAGTCTGTCAATATCTCCAAAGCTCAAAACGCTCTGTTCCACCTTGTGATGTCATGTAGTGGTAGTTTCTAAGCTAACATCTCCTTTTAACCTTAAATTCAGAAGAGATTCCAGGGCTGAAATCATCCAAATGTTTCTAGTGAAGGTGTATGGAGTTTAAAAACACAATAGAGCACTTCCTGTATTACCACATGACATCACAAGGTGGAACAGAGCGTTTTCAGCTCCGAGAGAAGAGCGTAGATCAGAAAATAACGTCGTATAACCCCTTTAATTTTTCTCTGAGTACTGATTTCCTGACAAACCCAGCAGCGTCAGTCTATC